AAAAAAAACAAAACAAAATAAATACTGTAGACACAGCTTTGTCTGCAGATGTTTAAATATTAAAAGACGCCATGTCTGCAGTTTAATGTTGTCAGGAATGAGTTTCTGGATTTCTTCTTTTAAATTCCAAAAACAAAGAACATTTTTTCAGGAGTGGTTAACAATTTACTGACCAGTCTAACAACTTGTTCTGTTGGTTGTTTTTTTTTTTTTAGATCCTAAAACCGGCGTCAAAACCAAACTTATTTGACAACATTTGTACATGAACAACGTTTTTTATACTAGAAACAGGAGTTTAAACAAACAGAACACTAAAGGTTCTTACACTGTGGTACATTTATAGAGGACACGTAGACAGCTAAAGTACAAACACTCAAAGCAGATGTTAAAAACTTTTACCTATATTATTTCCTTAAAATAGGAAAAGCCACTTGGGGGTGGGGGGAGTCCAACCCTGGGTTCAACTCCCCCAGGTTTAGACTCATTTTAGTCTTTGGATTCTTGTTTTTTCTGTAATGTGTTTATTATCAGGAGTTAAAAACCTCAGTTGAAACAAAGTTATAAAAATGTCTTTTTATTAAGTGATTATTGGACCTCACGGAAGACTCTTTAACAGGACGTCCACTGTCTTCAGTCCAGTCTCTACTCGTTATTTGGATGCGAATGTCTCTGACTTTAACAAATTTACCAACAGAACAATGTTTTTTTTACCCGTTAAAGAAAAGCGCGCCCGTCGTCAAAGTCCAGGTGTCTCCTGAGGACAAGTCCTCACAGACAGCCACAGGTTTTTACCACCATGTTCCGGTGTTTTTTCAGGATGACGTTGTTGTTGTCGTCATAGAAGAGGACAGAAATTGGACTGAGCTTGGTGGGAGCGCAGCACGCCTTCGGAACCTCGTTAGGCTTCAGGAGGTGGACCTGTCGGGACAGAGCAGACAGACCGGTTCACACCAGCAGTGTCCAGGGTGCATCCTGTGTCGTGAGTGTGTCGGTACTGACCACTTGCTGAATGAGGGCGTGGTTGGTGGCGTTCATGCAGGAGCCCAGAGGGTAAAAACACTCGCCATCACAGTAGTACGCCGAGTATCCAGGAGGGGCCAAGACCCAGTCCTGGGGACGACAAGAGAAGACGTGGTGGTTCTGGTTTGTACTGCCCCCTGGAGATCACTGCAGTGCTTTGAGTCTACAGTATCATCTTAATGTCAAACATGTAGCCACAGCTAGCATTAGCTAAGTGTACACAGGCCAAAAACAGGGATCAGTAGTAGACAATAAACAGTGGTGTCACATACTCAGTGGTAAATGTTGTCTGTTGATAAAGTACTCAGACAGTCAGAGCAGGGGTCACCAACGTGGGGCTCGGGGGCCACCTGGTAGCCCACTGGTCTTACCTTCCAGCCCAGGTCACTGAAGCTGACGAACAGTTCATGTTTCTTACACGGTTGACCCACGTTGTTGATGGGACTTCGATCTGAGCAGGACAGAGAGAGAACAGGAGACGTCAGAGTGAGAGGGGGGTGAGGAAAGGGGGGACCACAGTGGAGAGAGAGGGAGAGGACTGAGAGGGAGGGAGGGAGGGACAAAGTGAAACAGTGTTGTGTCTGTGTCTCACTGTGAATGTTGGGAAGTGGGAGGTCATATTTGGGTTTCTTCTTGCGGGGGTGAGTTTTGACGGCCCGTGGGGGTCGATACGGGATCTGGTTCTCTCTGAAGAAGACGACCATGAAGGGCTGTTTGGAGCGTGGACCTCGGCGACCCACCAACCCGATCCAGCCCGCAGACAGGGAGCGGTCTGGAAAAACAAGGACAGGTTCAGAGATTCAAATCCAGGGCGTCACATCAAGGATGATTACACGTCTGTGTGTGTGTGAACAGGAAGTCTTTGTTTGACCGCAAGTGTTTCTGGTTAAAAAATGTGGTTTAAAAATAATCCCAGTTCTTTCTAAAAGTAAAAAAAAGTCAGAACATTAAACCAACACTGTTCATTCCAATGTCCATCAAGTTACTATTGTATAGCTTCAACCAACCACCAGGGGTCGACTGTGTAAAGCCCATCAAATAAACACAGTATAGCTGTGTAAACCATCAGGGGGCGTTTCTGCTTGTTCCAACAAAAACGCCATTAGATTGTAGTAAAACAACATGGCAGTGAAGATTTTTCAGTGAGACCTTTTAGAATCAGGAGGTGCAGTTACACATTTCACCACCAGGTGGTAGTCATGTTACAATTTCAACCCCTCAAATAAGCCGTTGTTTTACTCACCCTCCTCCGTCTCCACGTAAAGTCGGATGCCCAGGTTGGACCGAGGGTGGAGCAGCCAATGGTTGGAGGCCGAGGTGACGTCAAAGGCCAGCCAACCTTCCTGAGCTGCAGAAACGGACTGCATGTCCAGCAGAACCAGCTCTGGTTCTCTAAAAAAAATAAAACAACAACAACATTTAACTCAATACATTTTAGAACTAAAAATAAATAAAATCATGAAATAATTATTTCAGGAAGAAGAAGGAAAAACATCTGCTGCAGTTTATCCTCAGACAATGTTGGTTTGTTTTTTTATTGTCCGTCCTGTGAAAAAAAAAGGTAAAAAAAATTCTGAACAATAAACACGTGTCATATTAGTTATGACCACAGGAGGGTGCCATGTACACCAGTGACAAGTGAACGCTGCTAATGACAGACTTCCTTAAAGAAATTAAAGCCCATGCTCCAGAATTTAAATTTTAAAATGTGCAGCCAAAGAATCAATGAACAGATGAACTTGAAAAACGATTTGATGTCGATATTTTCATCTAAAAAACTGAAACGGTTGGAAATTATTATTTTATTTTAATCCTTCATTTAAAACAAAATTAGCGACTAACGACATCAACGTTACCAAATAAAATCTAAATAAAAATAGTGAGCGAGAGCGACTTCTCACCTGTGTCTGTTCTCCTTCTTTATGACGTAGACAGAGATGTGCAGCGTCCTGTTCATCCGCTGACCCACCGTCAGGGTTTTGTAGATTCGAAACTCTGCCGCCGTCACCGTTTCCCCCTGGGGGAGAGGAGTGAGGTCGAAGCGAAACTCCTTCCAGTAGGGCCGAGGCTGCAGGAGGTCACGCTCCTGCTCCACTGAGGACAGACAGACAGGGGGCGACATGTCAGCGTAACAGCTCCATCCAGTCGGTAACACGACGTAAAGTTACAGACGTGTACTGTTCTGGAATGTTCTGGACTGGTTCAAAGAGGACTGGGCTTGTCCAGATTAATAATCCCATCGTTTGGATTAGTCACTGATAAAACAGAACGGGAAACACTGACCTCTACCTGCTGATACTGGGACTGACTAATACAGAATGTATTTGAAAATATTTAGGGAAAACATTTATTTAAATAAACACATACATTCAAATACAGATATAAATATTCACAAATATACAATATATAAATATATAATATATACACATGTACAGGTACGGTGTCACTACAGCGAGTTCTGTCAAAGGTCACCTCTGGACATTACTGACTAGTTGTGGTGAAGATAAGGGTCAGGGGGAAGTTTAGGGACATGGCTTTGACCAATGGGACAGTTGTGTGTGGGTGCGTCCTTGAGGAACCGCACATGAACATGAAACAGAGCTGGTCACTGGAGTTTACACACACACACACACACAGGGTAATTAGAGACACTTAGGTCTGTGGACCGCAGCAGCTGCTCACACACTCACCACTAATTGCAGTTCTCTCTGGTATTTTTAGAGCCGCTGCCTCCACACCAGTATTTTCATCTCTCCTCGGACATTTGCATCATTTTCTCCTCAGTGTGAGTGAGGTCTTTAATTCTAGGCAGCTGGGTCTTTACATACATATGTACATGTGTAGGGCTACACACACACACACACACACGGTCACAGTAGCCCTAAGGTACGGTTTCTGAGAATATTTTCATTTGAAAATTTTAAAAAATAATAATTTTTCACTTTTAGGAATTTAAGGTTAATTGTCTACAAAGTTTCTCAGATTCTCCCTCCAGCAGGGGGCACTTTTTTTCTTTTCTATCAAATGTTTTCACTAGTGTCAGACAGTGATGATGGTGATGATGTTATCGACTTCATGATGAACAAAAAATACTATTAAAATCATCATCATCACCACCATCATCATCATCATCAACATCATCACCAACATCATCATCACCATCATCTTCATCATCATCATCATTCCAGAACATCAGCAGCAGGAAGGCAGCTGTTATGACTGTGTTTATTTGTCACAGATTAACATCAACAAGTTTTAATGACCGACGCCCCCTCCTGATGGTACTTAGTCTAGGATTGGGGACACGGTGATATTGAACCAGCAACCTTAATTTTTTTTTTCTTAGTTTTACAGTCCATAAATACAATTTTAGCAGTAGTAGCTTTAGCATAAACTTTGGCAGTGAGATCTTTAGCAGTAGCATTGTTAGCAGAAACTGAAGCTATAAGATCTTTAGCAGTAGTAGCTTTAGCATAAGCTTTAGCAGTAGCATTGTTAGCAGAAACTTTGACAGTTAGATTTTTAGCAGTAACGTTCACAACGGCCAGAACGAGAGAACTGCTCTGTCGGCAGAACTGAAGATAAAGGTTTCCTCTGTTCAGCTGTTAAAGGGACAGTTTGACATTTTGGGAAACCTGGAAATCCTGGAATTATCCAGGAACCAACTTTGACACAAATATTTTCTAAATTTAAAAAAGGGAGTGGAGACTCACCCAGGTTGACGAAGCTCATCACCGTGTCGGCCTCGCTGACCACAGTGCCCAGCGGTGGACTGTGTGTACTGAGGGTGGGCAGGGCCGCGTGGTTGACCTGGGCCAGACGCTCCACTCCTCCAAACCAGCCCATCCCCGGTCCGCTCACCAGGATCTCGTTGCCCTCGTCTTCCCCGTCTGCCGACATGGCGTGGTACAGATCTAGCATGAAGAGCGGGGCGGAGGAAGGAGGGCGGAGCGGCGGG